CTCCAGATGAAGCATTACAGTACTCTTAACGTGCTGAGGGTCGCAGGTTCAATTCCGGCCAGTGTCAATACGTTTTGCCACATGCTATCAGCAAACAAAATATACTCTGTTCAGCTCATCATTAGTTCAAATTTTCCTGAGGGCACCTTTGTGATACTCTGATGAAAGAGGTCACGAACTAGAAAAAAATGCGAAGCAATAGCTGATTTTACGAAGGTGCTTCCTTGTTATGGGAATCTACAGATGAAGTACCACATTCAGGCCTACTGTATGCTCAGATTTGACCAGTAAGGATAAGATTTTTTGACACAGTCGGATAGCAGAATAACGTAAAAGCATCGAAATTTACTTTTATCCTTTTATCCTTCGAAAAATTTCTTCAGTATTCAAACGAATAAAATCAGTTACACATAAGTTTCGCAGAAGCACAATAAGGAAACTCACATTTGGAGAGTATACTTGGCTCTTGCACGGTTGAACAGTCTGCAACAAAAATCTATCGGACTGATCATGATATGACTGATTTATTTCCAAACCGTTCGGTTTGTTCGGAAAACAGATCACTTATTTGAAGATGTGTGAAGTATTCACAATCAAACTCTACGCCGGTTTCAAAACAAAACCATAACATGAGATTTGTCAAAACCGAAGTGCGGACCATCGGATCATAATATTACAACAATCAGGACAAGATTTATTGGAAGTAAATTACATTGATAAACGTTGTTGCGTTTGATGAATCTTGAGTTCGTTGTGGCTTCGGTGTACATTACTCCGTCGTTACCTTGCAGACTGATGAATGTTTTCAGAACTTTCAAAATGAACAATATATAATCTCACTTAAAACTTTTCTCGATTTAACAAGATTCTTCCGAGATGCAGCACACCGAGATGCAGTTGCTTAAGCAATATACAAAACGATCATTATCTTCTAACAGTATTCTTAAAGAAATAATAGAATGCAACTGATATTTCAGACTCGAAAAAGCTTACACGCTTAACAAAATCCGCTTCACTGATCCCCACATCACAGATTAACGAATCATTTACGGTGGTCTAAATCCGGATATCGTTCCATTAAGTTATTGTCAATGGATGAACCCATCGTGAGATTAAATTTCCTTGATTCAACTCTTCTAATGAATAATAATTCAGAGTAGTGCATATCATCGAGTGCTTTCACTGGAACAACACATGATCGATCGGTCCTCGACGAACATGTATGTATTATATATGTGCATAGAGAATATCACTTCATATCCTTTTCGAAATGATCTCAACGTATAAAATTTTGAGAAAAACTTGTAATCGTTGTTTGAGATGATGAATCTGGGAATGAATGTCTTTCAGATAATATCAGTTGCTTTCAGAACACGGATCAGTGATATTGTAAGAAATATTTTTATTATTGACGCTAATCGAGATCATTGTTGATATAGCAGATACAAATAAAAAGCGAAACTTTATTATATGCGATAGTATTATTCAATGTGGAGTAACTGTATGAAGAAGGTTATTGCCTCGATACATCTTCACTAAATAAACTGCTGAAGTGATAAATTTCAAGATGACGACAACAAAAAAAATCGTTTCGATTCAATATTTCGACTTATTGAAATATTTCGACTGTTTTCGCTGAACTGAATCTCCAACTGATTCGGATCTGATCAATTTATCAGTTAGCCGTTACCCAGCATTGATTTGTTTCAAAAGACGACAGACGACAACGAAAGCTCTTGAAAGCCGTGGCAAAATATGACAAATATATGTAGGTATAATACAGGAACTTGATCATTCAAAGATTCAGAAAAGAAAACAAAATTTCAAAAAATATGACCAATATTATGCGCGTTCATCATTAATTATGAAAGGCTGGCAGCATGGAGAAATGACTACCGAAACGGATAGACGTATTTGTGTGGTCAAAAACAACGCAAGCGAAGGTGATAATGATGATGCTGGAAGTGACAAATATAGAAGATATAATTCAGCAAGACTGGCTTTTACAAAATATATGGTGTGGAACGCAAGAAGAAACATTCCTGGATGAACAAGAGAATCGTTCATTTTGGAATCATACAATCAGAAAATGGATTGAGAAGTCCAAAACAGTTTAAAATGAAGAAGAAATCAAATGAGTAATAAAAGGAAATTTTACAAGGGACGAAAGAGACAAAATATGCAACTTGTACTATTATGAGAACATGCGATGACCTATCAATCGCTTCAATGTGATTTTATAAATAAAGGATTTTTCGAAAGATTTTCAGTTCAAATATAAGTTAACAAAATGTGCACAATGTGATTGAAGTTTAACGACGAGTAGTGATGATTATTATTTTGATTCATCGTTCGTTTTGAAAGATTTTACTCACAATCAGAAGTTGAAGGTGTAATAATGTGGACTTGATTTCGAACTCAATATCATTTTGCCTAAGCGATAAGCTGCTTTCACCTAGATTCCTCTACTTCAGAACGAACGAAACAATAATCACATAAGCGATCAATATAAGTTTACCCGAGCATATGCAACCAGCATCATAACAACTGAAATATTCTGAATTCAATCAAATTTGAAAATTCACAAAATATTGAACAACAAAAACACATTCACACAATTCAACAGTTCAATTGAAGACAAGAAAACATTTCCGTTAAAGGAAAAGTCCAAAATCTATGTAATAAAATCTAGCAAAGCACAACAAAATGTGCCATCAAGAATGGATAATACTGTTGAAAAGTAACGTGGCAAGTTTACCACTATTCTCAACAACATTATCATTCTTTTGAATGAAATTATGTTTGGTTCTTCGATTCAGAAATGTCAGTTCCAATTGAAACTGATCCAGTCCCAGTTCAAAGAATCAAACACGCGATGCGAGAAATTGAAATATTTCTGCTGAATATCGCTTTGTCCAGAGCATTTTGCGTTTAATCTCTTCCCGCACATGTCTGATAACGCCTTTTATTCGTACCAAATTCTGTTCATATTTGTTTTCGAAATCATTCAACTGAAGTTAAGAAATCAGTAAACATTAATGAAACGATATCAAAGCAATTAATAAACATTCCTTATCTTGTTGCTTTTCATTATGTTCATTTCATGTGATCCTTTCAATATCTCGTTCATATAGCTCTTTTAATAACGCAGTGGTTCTCACGAGGGAGGAAATTACCCATTTAGGTGTCAAGGGGCAAATTTCATTAGCTTGTAATGGCCTGGCAAGGTTTTCATTCGTTTTAACAGGGTTTTCATTCTTTTCCGTGCTGTTCCAATCGCTCTCATAGCTTTTA